GCTCATACCAGGCTTGTTTGACTGCAAGGCCATATTTGCGTTGTGTACTTCATAGCACATTGGACCTTCATTTGCAAAAACAACTGTATTTTATCCTTGCCTGACATCGAATACCTCCCATCCTCCTTTCACTTTCCACTTTACTGTATTTCTGATTCTCCAAATTGCAGTGTTTATTTTATCTTTAGCACTTGAAGTCATGTTCAGCCTGTCTTCCCCACATTATTTGCTGAAGTGTGAGAAATTAGGAGACAGCCTGGCCAACCTCATGCCAGCTTTCCTGTTCAGTTAGTGATACAGGGATTAGTTCCTTCCCTGAAGTACCATTTGCTTATTATCATGGTAATTAAGTTGCTTGCCTTTCCTCCTGCTGGAAAGGGAGGACATACATAAAGATGGCTTAGGTTACCTTATCAGAGGCATAACTTTCTATTTGCTTGATCCATGGATGGAGCAAGTAAGTGCTCCAGGTGCTGGGCTCTTGACCCAGTTGTACAAGAGCTTTGTTTTTTTTTTTTTTAAGAGAAGCTGGACATCTGAATTTTTCAATGAAATCTTCCAAGTTTTAAATGTTGATAACTAACTTAAAAGTTAAAGTTTAATATAACAACCAAATGTAGCCTTTGGGGCTTTATCTTATATCTACTGGTCTAAGGGATTGTATAGTACTGATTCTGGGCAGGATTTAGTTAGACTGAAGGAAGGAAAAAATAGAGGAGTTATTTCTACTACTTCCAGTACCTGGGCCTGTTTATACGCAGGCCAGATAGGGTGCTGAGGCGGTGGGGGGAGGCAGGGAAAGGAGGGTGAGAAAGGATGTACATCTTCTTATTAGTATGACCACATTCACCATGGCCATCCTGAATCACCATTCCTGGGTTAAACCCTTTGACCTTGTCAGGATGCAGATTTAGCTGCCTAGACAAGAAAGCAAAATAGTAAACAAGTTAAAATTTTTTCTTTTACAATGACCTGAGGATAAGCAAACTAGAATGATCATTTTTTCTTCTTGTTTTGCCCTGGCTCATCCTCATGACTCAAGATGTTTCACCTTCATGTGAACATTCCAAGCTGGCAGGAGGAGGATGGGTGGATGGAGAAGGCCATGTCACTTCCTTTTCACAGCAGGATCTAAATTTTCATTCTTGTTGCATCACTTTTGCTTGCAATCTTTTTGGACAGAACTTGGGGACATGGCCAATACTCACTCAAAAAAAAAAAAAAGGCTGGAAAATGTGTTTTTTAGAGGACAGTTCTGTATCAGCTAAAGAGTTCATATTTATAACAGAAGGAGCTACTGGGCATTGTGGGATATTTAGCAGTCCTTTGCATTTGCACTTGTAGGCCTCAGGTTCTGTGAAGTAGGGTAGCTGTCACTGTAACCTCAGTTTAAATTTATAATCATTTCAGCAAGACTCTGGTGGCACAAACAGAAGGTGATACTTACCATCAGTTTTCCCTGTTTTAGATTTTTATGGCCTACTTTATTTCTGGTTTGATTGACAGAGCAGAATGAGTTTCAATGTCATCTGTTTGCATGGTCTGTTATAGAACAGCACTTTTCAAACTTTTTACCTTCTTAAAAATTACTAAAGACATTAAAAAGTTTTGTTTATGTGGATTATATCTATTTGTAGTTTCTGTATTAAAAATTAAAATGGACATTTACAAGAGTACACAAGTAAGCATTCTAATAGCTATTATACCCCCTGGAAATTTCTACTACACAAGTATGAGAGATTAATTTTAAAAAAGATCAAATAATGTTTGGTGATTTTATGAAAATAATACTGATCTGTCAGAAGGGTCTTGGAGAACCTGGGCCACACTTTGCGAACCATTAATCTAGAGAGCATACCTGTTTATGTTTACTTTGGTATTGCTTATACTGCAATTATAAGTGCCAGGAATGAAAATTTAAAAATAAAGAAATTTGGATAGGACTGGTACCATTAAGTAATTAATGGTTCAAAAATAAGTGACCAATCTGTGAGCTGTGTTTATCTTATATTTGGGAAGGATTAGTTTTATTACTGAATAATCAATAAATTTATGTGTATGATTTAATAGTGATTATTTTTACCTCTACCAGTTTAGCCAGTTCTAGTGTTTAACCATGCTGAACATATAAAAGCTCATTGTGGAGAGAATTTTGTTTTTGTGCACTTTTATTTAGGTTTGGCTACTTTGTCCTAAATCCATCTTTTCTTACTTGGCACATCCCACAGTCTCCTATGGAAAGGTAAAGTGGTAGATATTCACATTTTTCAGTCACCTTACAGCTAGGCTGCAGGCCTGTGACCTAAGCATTACCAGTCAGCCATCTCCCTCTCATGTCATGTAATGGAAAAGGGACTTGCAGATAGACTTGGCAGCTATCTGCCTTGGCAGCACAGTTTCCAGGGCAACAATTAGTTGCTGGAGGAGTTGGTGCTGGTAGGGGAAGCTGCAGACTCCCTGTTCCTCAGCAACAGACTGTAGTGGTGTGTTTTCGCCAGACTAGTGCTTCTGTGTTTTGGAGGGTGATGTTCTTTGAAATGCAGACTCCAAGTCCTATTTCTTTGGTCTTCCTGGAAATAGATGATCTTCCTGTTTTCTTTCCATGAATCCAATAGTCCATGTCTTTGCCAGCAACTAAGGATCCTGCTTGGTATATTTTTAAATACAGTGTCTCTCAGGGTATTTGAAATCCTTAGTCTTGTTCTAATGATAGCTTTTCAAGGGCTTAAAAATGATGGATTCCGAATCCTAATGGGAGTTTAACAGGGTTTCTGCATTTTAAGCAAGTTTCAGGTTTATACAATTTTAGGTACAATAAAACTTAAGAACAACTGTCCATATGTTTTTGACTTTTTAAATTATTTGTTCTTGGTTTAGGAATCTGAGTAACTTTTGGGGGGTGGAGTAGTACTGGGTTTTGAACTCAGAACTTAGTGCTTGCTAGTCAGGTGGCGCTCTACCACTTGAGCAAACTATGCAACCAGCAACCTTCCCCACCAACCTCTGTTTTTTTAGCATTAGTTGTTTTGGATAGGGTCTCACATTTTTGCCAGGGACCAGCCTCACTGTGATTCTTCTACTTACATCTCCCATGTAGATGGAATTACAAACATGCACCACTATTCCAACTTGTATTTTAAGAGAGGAATCTCACTAGTAATTGAACCCAGGGCCTCAAGCTTGCAGGGCAAGTATTCTGCTGCCTGAGCTACACCCCTAGCCCAAGGATCTGAGTAAATTTCTTTTTATCACAAAGCACTTATTAATGACTGACCTGTAGTATTTCCTTGTTCCCAGTCCTCACACTCCACATTTCCCATAAGCCTTTGTTTTGTCTCTTTGACTCTTAGCATCTCTTTTCCAGAGTATTTCTTTTCTCTAAGAAGTGGTAACTCTCCAACTGGGGTTGCTTATAGACAGTTCTGCCCAAATTGTTCAAATCAGTGCAGTGACTGTGGCTCTCTGCAGGTGGTTTCTTTCTTGGGCTTAGTTTATTCCAGGGACCACTGGAACAAGGAGAGGAAAGACTAGAACATGAGACACAGAATGATTTTCTTTAAGGGCTTTTCAGCCTTGATTTGGGGCCCAAAAGTATCATGGAGTGGTTGATTAATCTACTTCTGAGATTTCTAGAATCACAGAATCATAACTTATGAGAATGTAGCTTCCCACTGTCAACTAAATGAGAAACTGAAGTAGAAGTTTCATGTCCAAAGTCACCTAAGTAATTAGTGGGGTATAAAGGACAAAATAAATTTAGAAGGTGTAAAAAGTGGTGATGTAGAGCTTGAGCTACACTATCATAAAATGGAAGGGACTAGCATTAATTTAGTTAATATTTGAACTTGGATACATTCACTTAATGTCTTTGAGCCCCAGTTTCCTTGACTGAAAAAGAAAGATTCTAATAGTAGCTATCATTTGCAAAACATTGGCTATGTGGTAGGAACTAGTCTAAGGTCTGTATAGGCTAACTCACTTAATCCTGGCCCAACCACATGACATGCATACTATTCTCTGCTTTTCAGATGCACAGAAAGTCTATACAACTTACCTGTACTCATACAGCTAGTGTATTAGCTTTCTATCACAACTGTACACATTTCCATGAACTCAATTGCTTAAGCCAGAATATATTCATTAGCCCACAGTTTTGTGGGTTAGGCAATGTGGGCATAGCTTACCAAGGTCCTCTGCTCACCATCTCACAAGGCAGCAATGGAGTTGTTGACCAGGGCTCATCTGATACTCAGGTTCCTTCCCAAAGCTCTTGTGGTTATTGGTAGAATTAGTTTCCTTGCTGTGGAACTCAGGGCATTTGAATCTTCAAAGTCAGCAAAGAGCATTTCCTTTTAAAGTTTTCACCTCATTAAATCAGGACCACTCAGAAAGACTTTTTTTTTTTATTAAGTTAGAACCAACTGATTAGAGACCTTAATATACCTGCAATATCTCTTTACCTTTGCCATATGACATAATATAATCATGGGAAATTATTCCCATCCCCTTTGCTGTGTTCTGTCAGTTAGAAAAACTGAATAAGTCTTGTCCATTTTCAAGGGGAGGGAATTGCAGAGACTCATGGATCCCAAACACAGGAATCAAAGAGCCATCTGCCACAGCTTTAAGAGTAACTTTAAACCCAGGCTGGGTCCAGTCAAGGAGTCCATGACCTCAGAGATCTTGCTATGCTCTTCTTTCACCTTTTGAAGAAAGTGAGCCTTTCATAGAGTTCTAAACACAGTGACACCCAGCAATTTCATACTGGGCGCTCATCAAATACTAGTTTCCCTTATACTTCCAGTTTGAAAGGCTGACATCAAGAAACCATAACTATATAGAGTTTTGTATATTCTGAAGAAGACTTCCAAAAACCTCTCCGAATTCTCTGGTGATATAAGTTATTGCAATATGTTCATGTTCTTTTGAGCATGAAATTCGGGATTTGAGACCCGAGTTCTAACAAATAACCTTAGCTTTGCCTTTTGTCTTTGAAACAGATGAAGTGATTTAGAAGAAAGAGTGAACACCTTCCCTTTGCAGACAGGACAGCATGGAGCAGCCATTTACTGTGAATTCACTGGTAAGTTGCATCAACTGATATTTTACATATGGTTGGAAAGCCCAGAAAGAAGAACAGAAACAGACCAAATGTGAAATGAGTCACACTCACTTTAAGTTTAGTACTTATTTGTAGCTTTTTTATCCATCTGTGTAGCCATCTACTTTGAGGAAGTGACTAATAAAGCCATCTTCACAAGATCTAAAAATAATTTTCCCACAAAAGTGTGAAATTTGAATTTTCTGGCTAGATTTTAGGAGTGGATGCATTGTAGTCCTTTGGAAAAACACTGGAGAGATTTTCAAAGTTGACTTCATACATAGCAGGTACTTAAACCTCTTTGTGCTTCAGTTTCTTTACAGATGAAATTGGAGGCTTACCTCCTTTGGTAATAACAGGAAACTGTATTTAACACCTAGGTATTGCTTTGGAGTTCTCCTGTTAATGTGTGCATACTCGAAGCCCTCATTCTTCTCACTTTTCCCCTTCCTGGCCATCAGTGTGCATGTGTTCTCTGACTGCGTCCTAGAAGAACAGTTCTGGAGAGGAAGTAACAAGGGCATTGGGATCACGTGAACCTGTTCTGTGTCCTAGATTAGTCTCCGAGTGTGAATACAGTCATATTCTGTAATCCTCATGATCCCATGTGGTACTTTGTGCCTTACGACAATTAGCAACAATATTTGTAAGTTTCAAGCCTGTCACATGATTTAAAAAATGGAAGTTGTCATTCTTCTCCTCCTATTGAGAACCATCCATGTCAACAGTAGTCCTGTGAGCAACAGTATACTGGATACCCCATATACACAAAGCATAGCACCAGGACATGAAGAAATAGAAGGCCTGGTTCTTGTGCTGAAATAGGTTGTGACCTAATGTTTTTTTCTTGATTAAGAAAGTCCTTCAAGAAACTCAGTGGAAGTAAGAACTGGCAGGCATCTTTTCCCTTTCTGACTCTATGCTGTCATTCTACTGTAGAATAATAATGAATGCCCCATTTCTACTTCTGCAGAGGAAGCAGTCATCTTTATCAATACCTTATATGTGTTTTGTAAAACATTATATAGGAATGATTAAAGTTTTATTGCACTTATCACTGTGAAAATAAACACTAAAGCTTTTCATCTGGAAAATTCATGTTTTCATCCAAGAAGCTTACATGCAAATGAAATACAGGTTGATGGAGGCTTTAGGTAATTTCTCAGCTCAGCTCACCTTCCATAATCTAATTATAGCTTTATTCTCTTTCTCTCTTTGTGTCTCTCTCTCATGGTGAAGATTGAACCCAGAGCCTTGTGCATACTAAGCACACACCCTATCACTAATGTTTACCTTTAGATCCATATTCTTGCTTTTATTTGATACATTTATGAATTATTAACTATTTCAGGGAGTAGGGATGAATGGAAAATGATTCATTTTGGGATTGGACTTTGAGCACATGATAAAAGTGAGAGCACACAAAGGAGAGGTGAGGATAGGTAAGACACCTAAAAAATTAGCTAGCATTTGTTGCCCTTAATGCAGAGAAACTAAAGCAGATACCTTAAAAGCAACTGAGGCCAATAGGAAAAGGGGACCAGAACTAGAGAAAAGGTTAGATCAAAAAGAATTAACCTAGAAGGTAACACACATGCAAAAGAAATTAATGTGAGTCTACTCCCTGTATAGCTATCCTTATCTCAACCAGTAAAAATACTTGTTTCTTCCTATTATTGCTTATACTCTCTCTTCAACAAAATTAGAGATAAGGGCAAAATAGTTTCTGCCAGGTATTGAGGGGGTGGGGGGGGGAGAAGAAGGAGGCAGAGTGGGTGGTAAGGGAGGGGGTGGGGGCAGGGAGGAGAAATGACCCAAACCTTGTATGCACATATGAATAATAAAACAATAAAAAAAAAAGAAAATGATTCCTTTTAAAACTCCAAGTTCACAAGGGATTAGAAAAACTTGTACAGAAATAATGATTCAGTATGGATGGTGTAGTAATAAAAGATCAACAAATTACTCTTATACACCTGAAAGGCTAGATGTCCTCTTTAGAAAACACCCCTAATTCCATAAAATTTTTTTCAGTCATTTATTGATGTCTTGAGGCAATCATCTATGGTCGAATAACAGTATTTTCATTTAGTGGTGTTGAGTTTTACAGGTGAGTGTGCTTAGGGAACAGTGGATGAATTGCTGTAGTGTTGGCAATATCTTAGCTGGAGATGACTGAATACTTGAGCCTCAGAGTTCACAAGCTCCTATTCCTATCTCCTATGTGTGGAAGCTGCCAACAGCTCTGAAATTAGAAAGTTGTTCAGAGAACTAGAAGAACAGCACAACAGGGTATGGATCAAAGCAGCTTTTTTAAAGTACTTATACTTTACTTTTAAAAATATGTAAATATTTTTACATATTTATAGGGTGAAGTGTGATAATTCAATGTATGTATATGATGTGTAATGATGAAATCAGGGTAATAAGCATTTTTAGCTTCTCAAGCATTTATCATTTCTATGTGTTAGAAACATGGATTCTTTCCTAGTTATATTTTGAAATATGTAATAAGTTGTAGTCCTTAGTTGCCCTACTGTGTTTAGAACACTACAACTAATTCTTTTATTCAAATGTATTTTGGTTCATGTTATCTAATGAAGTGTGTTTTCATTTGACATGAAGTCACTTGGGAAGGGCCTGAATAATGGTATTGCTGTCAGTTATACTGCTCTACTTTCAGAACAAAATAAAAGGTACATGGTAAGGATGAAGATTGAGTGTGCTCTTTATTCCTGGTGACTTAGACCAGAAACTTCCTCCACTGGAGAACATAAGAGACTAAGTGTTTATATTGCTTCTGCTCTAAGCTAAGTGGACCAGGCTTACACACCCAGTCAAAGGAGGGGCATCTGGACACCTTCAGAGAGAGAAAGCCCAGGTTCTGGAAGTTCCCTTGGGGAAGAAAAAACAGGAAGGATGTCTTACCCACATCCACTGGCCAGGTCAAAAGAGTAATAGCAGGTGCAAGAGGCATGGCCTGAAACTGACTTACTGGAAGCTTGAGACACAAGTTTATGGCTCTCTGGTTATATATTAAACCTGTAGGAGCAAGAGTCATTTCAGATCTCTGAGGCTCTATTCACTATAAAATTGCCAGCAAAAAATAGACCAGATGGCATTGGAAAAACCTTCAGTTATCTAATCTGCTGCACCTTGGTTGAGTAGTTCATGGCCAGACTAAAACTATATTTACCTTGAGTTCCTTGAGAACTTTCTACAGAACTTAGTCAAATGCTCTGTCCTCACTATTATTGAACTTGCAATCTATGGTTATCTAACTAAAGAGGCTAAGAAAACTAAATTTCTTCTGGGCCCACTCCATTCTTGGCGTAACAAATGATGGTAGAAAGTGCTAAAGTTCCTCTGGGAACACTAGTTGAAACTTCAATGCCTTCAGTGGACCTTCAGACTGGAGTCTGTAGATTTGAAGTGAGGCCAGTTAGGGATTTACATTTTTAAGGATGACTCAGGAGCTGCTGGTGCATGGGACCATACTGTGAGACACACGGCTCTAAACTAGAGGAAATCAAACTGGTCTCAGGGCTAATTCACTGATTGGAACACAACCAGGCCCATTTATTTCCTTGTTGTTTCTGGCTGCTTTCACCTTGGGAAACTGAATTCAAGGTGCAACAGAGACCATAAATTATTAGCTATCAGAATTGCCTGAATTTTTACCTTCCTGAAGCATTAGCTTCTTATTCAATAATTAAATAATTATTGTGGGTATATATGCTTTGTACATTTCCAAACATGTATAGATGCTGCTTTTTATTAATAAAATTCAAATGTAGCAAGTAAGTGACTTTTTCCTTAGTAACTAATTATCACTATTTTCTTAGTTGGGGACTAATTAACAGCATAACTACTATTATGTGGATGTATAAAAGGTTTTTTTGTATTAATAGATGGAATTGGGAATTTCTTATGCTTGAAAGGCTTCTCTAGGACACTGGTGGATTTTCTCATCTCTTTATTCAGTGAAGATGGAAGAAGGTCCTAATAACCTCCCAGTAAACTAGATAGATTCTGGAGTAAAATCAAATCCTGATAGTAACTTTGAACCCAAATGACCTTCTGCAGACCCTTCAGAGTGGAATGGCATCAGGCCTACTATGACAAGTCATCTTGTGTCCTACTCTCCACATGACCCAGGATGGTTAACATCCACAAGTATATAAAGGTCAATGATGTTTTACCTAAAGTGAACTGAGCCTGGCACTGGTGGCTCACACCTATAGTCCTAGATACTCAGGAGGCAGAGATCAGGAGGATCACAGTTCTAAGCCAGCCTGGGCAAACAGTTTGAAAATACTCAACACAAAACAGGGCTGTCATAGTGGCTCAAAAGGTAGAGTGCCTGCCTAGCAAGCACAAAGTCTTGAGGTCAAACCCCAGTACCATAAAAATAAGCAAATAGAAAATAAATAAATAAAATGACCTAAAACACAGGATCTGCCACAGAATTATATTTTGATACCCAAAAAGAGATCATACGTTAATGAAAATGCATGTTTATCCTAGATGTGTGTCTTTTCTGTGTGTGTTTATGAAAAATCATTTTTGCTTTGATCATGTCATTAACTCTTGTGAAAAAATTTCCTTAGGTATTTGTCTCAGGATTTTAGTACAGAAAACATATGCACTAATCAGTCATATACTTTTTTATTCTAATTAAAGATTTAAATGTTGCTTCCCAGAAAAAGTTAGCTGCTATGCCTGACCATACAGATGTCTCCCTAAGCCCAGAAGAACGAGTTCGTGCCCTAACCAAGCTTGGTTGTAATATCACCATCAGTGAAGACATCACTCCACGCCGCTACTTCAGGTCTGGAGTAGAAATGGAGAGGATGGCTTCTGTGTATTTGGAAGAAGGAAACTTGGAAAATGCCTTTGTTCTTTATAATAAATTTATAACGTAAGTTTTGTTTAAAAGGTCTTTGGAATGAGAAAATTGGAAAAATACATTAAATTTTGATGTGGCAGGATAGATTTCATATTCAAAATATTTTACCACTTCCCAAAGTATATCGAGATTTTTAAGGTAACAAAAAGTATATTGAAAGGCACGCATTCTTTCTGGGCCTCAAGAATGGGCGGAAGATCAGGAGAGAATTAGACTCTCAACAGCCAGCCCGATAGCTGCATGTCTCATTCCTCACAAATGTAATTTCTAGTTCATGCTATTTTTCCCCCACAGGAATGTAAGCTTTCTGGAGCAGGAGCCAAATTGCAGCTCCATTTAGAGCACATGGAGTATGCCATCAACATTTAGAAAATTTAGCCAGACGTGGTGGTACATGCCTGTAATCCTACTACATGGGAAGCATAGCTAGCAGGTTCTATCATGGTCCATGGCTGATCATGGGCATAAAACATGAGACCTTCTCTGAAACATAACTAAGGCCAAAAATAAGTAAGTAAAGGGCTTGGGAGCACAAGTGGTCCTTGTCTAGCAAACACGAAGCCCTGACATCAAACCCCAGAACTGCTGAAGAAAAAAATTGTTTAAAAATTTGATTTAGAGGCTTGAGACTAGGGGACAAGGTGAGAAACATAGGAAAGATGTGACAGATGTGATTTAGAAGAGGGCATAGGAGTGAGTTTCATACTGTACTTAGTTTTTTTTTAAGACAATTTATGCTGCTATACAAGAATTCTATGTACAAAAGAGCTTTCAATTTTGAATGAAAGTGGCTATATCAAAATAGCCATGTAAAAATATCCCATTAAATATTTATTAATAACTACACTAGTTTAATAGCTAACAGAAATGGAATTGGGACTTAAGCTTACCAATTGAACAATTAGTTAGCTAGAAGAATCTCCTGTTTTCAATAATAATTTAACCTAAGCTGAATCTATTTTGTTGTAATTGAAAATCATGTTAATTTCACTAGCTTATTTTTATTTATCAAATATATATTTATGGTGTGTTTATGATGTTTTGAAATAGGTGTACATTGTGGAATAACAAAATGAAGCTACTTAACATATCCATTACCTCACATGCCATGATTTTTGGAGTGAGAATCTTTAAAATCAGTTCTCTTGGCAAATTTTAAGTGTATGGTGCACTAATTATAATCGCACATTGCACATTGGGTTTCCTAAACTTATTTCTCTTATCTCCCTGAATTTTGTATCTTTTGAACAGCATTGCTCCAACCCCCATCCCAAACTTCCCAGTCCCAAATGACCACTATTCTACTCCCTATGTTTGTGACTTTGACTTTTTAAAATTATGCATTAAGTGAAATCATGTAGTATTTGTTATTCTGTACTTGGCTAATTTCATTTATAGTTTTACTAGTTTTACTGGGGGCTTATTTTGAACATTCAAGAAGTTGAAATGATAAAATTTTCAAAAATTGCTTTCCATGATTTTACCAAGGACAAAATTCAAAACAGTTTATACAATATATAAATTTCCAAGTTAGTTAACTTGAAAGTTTAACTTGGACATTTAGAAAATGGATGGCAACTTTTTTCTGACCTGAGAAAACCACTTGTATATTAGAAAGCTGAACAATAACTATGAAATCGCAGGTTGTCTGTCACCCTTGACATCCAAACACTTCCAGAATGTTTTGCTTCTGAGCTGTGTTATCAATGGATAATGTTTTCCATTTCTGCTCCAGTCTGACACCCAGCTATGGAATCATCAAGGTGGTGATAGGGAAAGGCCACTCTACCCTGTGGTTTACTAACTCAGACCACTTGAGTTCCCTTGTCACATTAGCAGTGTGTTAACCTCTACTGCTTATTCTCCCTAGGCCTCAATGCCTCATCTACAAATAAAAGACTTATGGGAGAAACTCTATGTGGGTCCTTCAGCTCCAGATGTCTGTGATTTTATTCTGTTTATATGTAGCTTCTATAAGATTTACTTTTGATTTGAGAAAAGGAAGTTATGTTACCTTCCTTCTCTACCATATAGCATTGTCATCAGGAGAAATGAGAGGATGAGTATGTATGTGTGATTTCTCAAGAACAGTAATTGTAAAGTATCACACACTAGCATTTGCATCCTATCATGATCTATTAAGAAAGAGCTATGCATTCATTTTACAGGTTTTTTTTTTTAATTGAGTACTCATGATGAGCTGGACACCAGTTTTTAGTCTTGGGATAGATAAATCAGTGCATTACAAAAGAGAATTTCCTGCTCTCATGGAAACAGTACCTTTTCTGACCTTTGAACAATGCAACCAGTTTGCAGATATTTCCCTTCACTTCTGCTATACCTTGATCCTCCAAAGGGTGGAATAACTCACTCCCAATTAACTCCTCATAATCCACTAGGGATTCTAGTTGCTAATTCTCTTAGCTATGAAGTTTCAGTTGAGTTTTTGACATATAGCCAGGCTATGGTGGCTCAGGCCTGTATGGTAGCTATTTAGAAGGCAGAGATCAGGAGGATCACAGTTCAAGGCCAACCTGAGTTGGGGGGGTGGTGGAGAGAGAGAAAGAGAGAGAGACCCTATCTCAAAAATAGCCAACATTAAAAAATGGGCTGATGGAGTGGTTCAGGTGGTAGAGAGCCTGCCTAGCAAGCATGATCTGAGTTCAAACTCCAGTACCACCAAAAAAGACTTTTGACATATCACTATGGCACTACTGTTTCATTAGCAATCACTTGTGTTTTTTTAAGGAAGAGAAGGGATTTACATTGATCTTTCCAAATTTTTACACACATAAATAAAATACTGATTTGGGGAGATCAATTGTCCAGGACTTGAGAAAGACCAGAGTGGTTTTGGTCACTCTAGGGAGAGAATTTCCTGACTTTATGTATCACCTCGGTGCTTAGTTTGCTGAGCGTAAATATCTTTTAATGGCAAAATAATAGACATGCCAACCTTTAGTGAAAAGGCATATAGCAAGTTACTAAACATGACATTTTTGAAAAGGATACTCATTTTCATAGGAGAAATCGTCATTGAGTTTTCCATATTGTAATGCTAAGAATGTGTTTGCCCTTTCTCTAGCTTGTTTGTAGAAAAGCTCCCTGGCCATCGAGATTACCAGCAATGTGCAGTACCTGAAAAGCAGGATATTATGAAGGTATGGTGGTATTGATTCTCAACTGTGGGATCAAATGCCTCCTGAGTGTCTGTTATTGATTCACCATCCCCTTCCTTTCCTCCTCCAGCTCTTTCTCTGGAGACTTTGAGCACAAGAAATTCATTCCATTAGCCATGAAGTTACGATTTCTTCTTAGACATTTAATGATTATGACTGAGCGTGTGTGAGTTCTCTAATTGATGTTAGGGGAAAGAAGAAAGGATAAGGATGTACTCAATCACCTCTGAGGTGGAGAATGAATTATCTTACAATTCCTCCTAGAGATTGAGACAATGGTTATATGTTTCTGTGTACTCATTTGAGGCTGTTATTTTGGCTGGTTATTTATTATTATTATGTGCACCCCAATAACCATTTGAAAATCAGTGTTGATTTTTAAGATGGTCCAGAGTTGTAGCTATACTCATGAGCTGAATAATGATAGCACAGTCATCTAAGGACCACATATATGGCAGTGGTTTCCATTAAATTATATTGTCTAGTGACATTGTAACTATTTTTGCTTGTGTAACTACACTCTGATGTTCCACAATAACAAAATCATCAAAGTACACATTTCTCAGAATGTGAACCCATCACTAACTGACTGTAATTACCTCTTGCAGAACTGTGTTTATATATAATAGAGTATTGAGTGGGTAATCTGCCCAAAATACTCAAGGAAAAGATTGTTGTAATGTATTTATTTATCACAAACATTGGTACATAGTTTCAAATATCTCTAGCTAAGATTACTTTTAAATGAGTATTTACAATGTTTCCCATTCATCTTAAATACCTGGTGTTGATTTTATAAGGAGTTGAAACAATATATACAAAACCAATTTCACCATGGAATTTTAGATAACTTTTGAAAAATATTTGACCATAATATGGAATAAAGGCTGTTCTTCCAGTCCTGTGAGGACAGAGACTGCCTGAAAGTAGAACTCAGGTTTTGTTAAGTGGTCATCTACATCTTTAAAATGTTGATACTCACTACATTGTCATGTCTTTGAATTCTTGTTCATTAAACCTCAAAGAGTTTTGTATGGAAACCAAAGGTCCCAGCTGTCAAGGTGACTCCTTTACTGTAATTGAAATTCTCTTATTTTTATTAGTAGAAGAAAATTCCAAAAGCTTATGTATTTCTCTTGTTTATGGTTGTTAAATAAGTGAATAGATGAATGAATGGCAAAAGATTAAGCATGTGCAAGTTCCTGAGTTCCATCCTCAGCAACACACATGCACACATCTTTGAAGAAGTTGTTTGAGATGCATATTCCCTGACTTTCTTTATCAAAACATTAATTCAGTAGATCAGGAATTGGGCCTGGAAATCTGTATGTTTGTAAAAAGAGTCTCAGCTGCTTTATTTATTCTGAATGCCTAGGGTTCCCTACCCATCACATTCCCTCCAGTGTTCCTTACAGTTCTGATACTACATAATTTATATATGGTATGTGCTGTTTATACCTGCTGCTTAAAATGGGCACCCAGTAAACAAAGTGCATATCTAACCAGTGGAGTCAATTAATGTCATATACACATATATTAACATATATATCATAAATGTAGATTATATATATATATATATGTATGTATGTATGTATTTTACTTCCCTGTTGAAAAGTTATATTTTGGCGCCCTAGAATAGAGGTTTATTTTCCTGCCATCATCTTTGGTTACTCATGATTGATTTATTATGTAAATACCAGCTGTTTTCTCAGCCAATGATCTGAAAAAGTACACTGAAAAATCACACTAATCACTATATATGTATGTATTTTTTAAAAGAAACTGAAGGAGATTGCATTCCCAAGGACAGATGAATTGAAAAAGGACCTTTTAAAGAAATATAACATAGAATACCAAGAGTATTTACAAAGCAAAGTAAGTTCAATCAGTGTATTTATTTCATGACTGCTTTCTGTGCAAATACATTTTCGTTTTTATATGATGAGTTTTTTAAATGTCATATACATTTAAATTAAAAATTAAAGATGCAGTGATGTGAAACAAATAAAAAATTCATGTTGATGTCCAGATTAAGCACTTTCACCAAAGATGTGGTATTTTTTTCCCTACAACAACCAATAATGCATTAGAAAAATAGATTTCCTACAGTGATTAAAATAGAAATTCATGACCAACTCTTACCAATGTAACCTTGAGCCAGATGGCTGCATTTTTTCAAATGAACAGAGTGGAGGGAAACCAGGAGAACTAAGTGTATTATTTCTAATGTATCTAAGTTTGTAGGCCTTAGAAATGTGAAATTCTTAAATATAATAGTCAATATTACTTCAAGATAGAAGACCATATGGTTGAAACATAATCATAACACCAAAGAATGGAATTGTCTGGATTGTTATTGAATAATGAAAATAATAATGATGATAGCATCAGAAAGGCACTGAAAGAAGCAATTGACCAATGTATGGGATACTTGAGTTCAAAATACAAATTTTAAGTGTTATGATATTATTTGCAGTGTTGTTTTTCTTATTTGTATTTTTGTGTGTTTATTTGCTTTGGGGGTTGCCACCTTTGCTGATGCTCATTTCCATTCAATCTCAGTACCTCTGAAAATGGCCACAGAACTTTCTGCCATTCTCTGTACATAACGGGAAGGCTGGTTGAATTGGGTGTTTTAACAGAGTGGTAGAGGAAATGCTGAAATCAGAGATTTCTCTCAAATGTGGGTATTAATGATTTGATCAGAAATATGAGAAATAAAATCAATCTTGGAAACTAAAACAAAGCAACAGCAAGGGAGAGAAAAGTTCAGTACCAGTCCCCCTTCCACACTCAGCAATGTGGGTTATGGTCCCCTGTAGGATCTCCGTGCAGGGAGCAGGCTTGGCACCTATGTCATGTCTGCCAGTGGTGACACCAGACACCAGTGACCTCACCATCCACAGTAGTATCCCATGTAGAAATCTCTGTGGGGCTAGAATGGCAGCACCCATGCTTAGCAGAGATGAATAGACCTACCTATAAGCCCTTACAATGGGCAGCACCAGACTCTCCAAGAAGCTCGTTAGAAATTCAGAACCTCAGTCCTGCAGAATCAGAATTTACAGCAGTAGTGAGATTCAGAGTGGTTCATCTGCACATAAAATGCCTTTGTAAGCTGTAGCCCCTACACTACCCCACCTTACTGCAGCTCCTCAATTCTAGTTTGGGAGGTCATTAAAATTTTGTGTTTTCTAACCTAATAATACCTGGCTATTTTGTTAGGACTAGGAAACTTGAGAGTCTTCATTTTTAACAAAACTCTTGGTTAGTTTTGATAGAGATAGCTGGAACACACTTTAAGAATTACTTCTTTGTGATTCTTCTCCATAAAGTTCCAGCAGAGGATGAGTTCTAGAGTGAAACACAAAAGGTTCTAGGGCAGCTCCATCCTAAAGAACTTCCTATGTTGATGGAAATGTTCTATTTGGCATGTTCCAATATTGTAGCCATGAGCTGTGTGTGGCTATTGGATACTTAAAATGTGACTAGTATATCTGAGACACTGAATTTCTAATTTAATGTCATTTTGATTCATTTAAATTTAAATAGTCATGTATGTCTAGTGGCTACCAGAGTGGGAAATGTGGTCCAGGGGTGAGATGTTTTGTTCCATACAATCTGGCTGTTGAGGCTGACTTTGATTTTCCAATTTTTAGAAGCCCAGGGGAATAGAGGGAACCCAATTGTCATGCTCTTCTGTCTCTGGTAAAATATGAATAGATTTAGAACTGCTGTCTTAATCAAATTAAGGAGCTTTTGCTGTGATGCTATATATTTTCTTCACTGTTTCGTGAATGTCCCTGTGGGCTCAGGGCATGGAATCAAGCTGTCTCTCTGTCTGCCAGACAATTAAAGTGTCTACTCTCTCTTTGATCTTTTTGCCTTGAAAACTAACCATTTCTTCTGGCAATCACATTTTTTTAGAACAAATACAGAGCTGAAATACTCAAAAAACTGGAGCATCAGAGATTGATAGAAGCAGAAAGAAAGCGGATTGCTCAGATGCGCCAGCAGCAGCTAGAATCTGAGCAGTTTCTATTTTTTGAAGATCAACTCAAGAAACAAGAGTTAGCCCGGGGCCAGATGCGAAATCAGGAGACCCCAGCGCTGTCTGAGCAGATTGATGGGAATGCTTTGTCCTGCTTTTCCACACACCAGAACAATTCCTTGCTGAATGTATTTGCAGATCAACCTAATAAAAGTGATGCGACAAATTTTTCTAGCCTCTCCCCTCCTGTAAACCGGGCCTTAAAGCCAGCAGCTACTCTAAGTGCTGTTCAGAGTAAGTGATGACTGTGTACCCTGAAAGACACTGAAGCTCATCTGACAGAACCAGTAACACCTGAGAGGGTCTCTTCTTTTCCTCACTAACTGTTATAATAACCCTACATTAAACACTATGGATGACAAAACTAACCTTTCAGTCCTCTTTGGCTTTTACTATATATCCCTTTAAAATTCAGGACACGTGTCTTGCCTAGTGATAGAGGAGACTCTATAAGTGGGACTTTTTTCTGTCATTGAACAGAGATTTTAAATGAGAAGAATTACAAGCAGTTTTTCATACATGTATTTTAACCAAGAAACATATATCTTAATGGCTAACATTTATAGTGGTGAGGAACGAAGATGCTGCAAAATTTTTCTGGATTTTTGCTCAACAATAAAATGTTTAGGCTCAGAATGTATACTGATGATGTATATCATCTGTGTATGAGAATCTCATACACATAAACTGTTAACTTCCAAATGGCATATGTGTTTCTGCCAGCAATTACTGCTGCCAAGTGCTGTTAGATCAGTGCTGGCATGGTTCCAAAATCAAATGGAATTCTTTCTGGCAGACACTGTCAGATGCAGCTTGTGTTCCCATTTATTTTTAAAGAGTTATGATAGGCATCCATTTTATAAGGTACTTTACTGCTAATTATTTCTCAAAAAAGTGTGTGTAGTTGCTTACTAAGTTATCCTTAATTTCCACTAGGATATATGCAACATATATTCAATACAATAAAGAATATCCTATATCTTATAGTGTGCAACATGCATTCTATACAGTCTCCATTTAGTGGCATACTTGCTATGAACCTCAAAAAAACCCACACACATAGAAGTAGTTGTTCCAAGGCAAAATCATGTGAAAGTGCTGGCACTTTACAACTTTGTTTATAACGTGTCATTTTACTTTCCTTCTAGCCAATATTTACTTTTAAGAGTTTTTAAACAAAAGTATGGAAAGGGAAACATCTTTTTGAAATTTATAATTATAATTGGTTACATAAAACAGTTTTGAAGGACAAGATATAAGATTTGTTTTTTTAGCTTTTTCTCCTTTTTCTGTGTCTTAGATTTAGTGATTGAAGGACTGAGGTGTGTAGTTTTATCAAAAGATCTTTGCCACAAATTTCTTCTGCTGGCCGAATCAAACACAGTAAGAGGAATAGAAACCTGTGGAATACTCTGTGGAAAACTGGTATGGTCTGTCTTTTTTTCATATCTCTCTGCACAGGATATTTTTAGAAATTAGCTTTCTTGTGACAAGCAGAGAAAAACAAAAACATACTCAGAATTATAATTATTATGAAATTAATGTTGCATAGATTAATTTCATACAACTGCTATCATTATTTGTGGAATTATAATTCTAGAAAAAGGATTGCAAAATGTCAGGGCATTATAAAAATTCACCTTAAAGAATCAATCAGACTATAAATGAAGCCTTTGTTTAGAAAAATAAATTTCTAAACCCATCTTGTTTTCTAAATTAAATATCCAAATCAATTATTAGCATCACATATATTCATTTAATTACCTTTCTACTTGTTCTTGCTAGTAGTAGATATCTTTTAATGCTTTTTCAGAGATATGGGAAATCAAATGAGTTTTGTTGTTTTCTTCAGTTTAAGGAAACAGTCTCAGCAAACTAAAATCTATAAGCATAGGTCATATTTAATAATGAAAGCTATTACCAGAAGTATGTGATAAGACATTTGTCAAAATAGGAGATAAAAGAAAGAGGATACATTTAATTTCTTATAGGAACAAAGATGAATAATATCCTTTTGAAGTGTACTTTTGTAGTCTCTTTTGGATATCAGTTTATATTTTTAAGTCCAGGCACACTTTAAGTCTCCAACATTCAGCGTAAAATAGATTTTATTCAGCACATATTCTCCTGATGGATTCTGATATTTCATTATCACATTTCTTTCAAGAGAAGAGGCAACTAGAGAAAAACCACAGAATGACCCCACCATCTCCTACCCACCCTCACCTTTGTTGCCTTTCAGGGGACCTATATTCTATGTTGTATTTAGTTTGGTTGGTTGGTTGGGTTGATTCATTCATTAATTTTACTCCTTCATCATGCAAACATTTACTGAGAATTACATGTGCCAGCACCAAACTAGCCATTCAGTAGCTTACAACATTCTCAGTCTCTGTCACCTGATGCTTACATGAGCTGGTGAAGAGGAGATGAATGACTAATTCTAAGTGGGGCTGAGTGCTCTCAGTTGAAGAACTGAGAATGAACTGGGAAACCTAACTTTGTCTAGAGGAGGTCAGGATACAGAAGGCCTTATAATAAAGGGAAAAGGAATAGTGCCTGATTTGAATAAAGGTCTTAAGGCTAGGAATGGGACTGTACTATGGGGAGTGGGGAAGGCCAATAGGCCTGGGAGAAGACAGCTCCTCTCAGCACAAACAGCTCTTAACCTAAGAATCCCATCTCCACTTCGGGACCCTCTTCTTGTCAACTCTTATCTTTTACCTGAGGGGGTAATTTGTTTTTATTTTCTTTTCATCTAATTGTAAAAGCCAAATCATTCTCTTGATTTTGGAAGATCCTAGTGAGTCTTTCCTATCTTAGAAGAAAGTCCTAAGTCCTCAAGAGCAAGACAACCAACCTCCACAGCTCTTAGAAATGCCCTTCAGTCACAGCCCAAATACTGAACTAGTATCCCTCCCATCAACAAAATATGCCTTTGTTTTGTTCCAATTTTTTGCATTGTAGATCTATTATACTAAGTCATTATTTATTAATTAAACTTGCATGGACCTCTTCCACTTAGGATGCTAATTCTTATTTATATTTTCAACTGCAAAAATGTGTTTCAAGCTTTAAACCACTGACTCTTAGAACTTTGACAAAGAATCCATTTTTATGTTTGAGATTGTGGTTTTGGATTGTGGTAGAGTGGGGGGAGGGGCAAAGTAAGTGGCAGAGGTACTCTCTAGTCTTGTAGCAAAGCGTGTCACATCCTGTTCAGATTTTTTCCTGACAGATGTTTGTTATCCTTTTACTAATTATTTTTTAGACGCATAATGAATTTACTATTACCCATGTGATCGTGCCAAAACAGTCTGCAGGACCAGACTATTGTGACGTAGAGAATGTAGAAGAACTATTTGGTGTTCAAGATCAACACGACCTCCTCACTCTGGGGTGGATCCACGTACGTTGTGCTTTTTGGGTTTCAGTTTATTTTTGTATGGTGTGTTATCTTCGTCTGAAAGAAAGTTAGCTTAACTTAAATAGTTTCATATTTTTAATTTTTTCAAATATAATAAAGTTTACCATATTAAGATATTTTCTTCAATGTTAGGCTGAGTCTAAATTTGTCAACCTGAATTTTACAAAGGATGTCTTACGTTTTTTTTCTTTTTTTTGGTACCATTCAAAATTGAGAAAGAGAATGTAACATTTGGAAATTAGGTGAGTTTTTCCTAATTTTCCTTTTTATATATTCTCTTTTCCTTTGCAGTGGGTCTAAATTTGATTTTTTAAAAATTATCGGAAGATTCTTCTTTTAAACAGTTTTTGTACGTATCAAAGAGTGTCCACGCACTCTGCTGCATGCTCCTGTATGCCCAGGTTTTATACATCATTCTATAAACAGCTATGAGGTAGAGCAAATGATAGGGCCAAGAACATTGTGTTCTTGGATGTCCTAACACCCACTAGGACATCATAGGAGCAGGAAAGGGATAACAAAACAAATAGGCCTGAGGTACAACCTCAGCTCCCCTGAGAATTCACTTTAGAAACATTGCAAGTTACTCAGCGTTATCATCTGTGAAATGGGGGTCAGAATCTTTGGCTTCAAATGATATTGAGAATTAAATGAGACGATGACAATGAATTTCCTAGCATAGTTTTCTAAGGACTCAAAAGTTATAGTTGTAGTTGGTGATGATACTCTGTTTTTTAATCCATAATTTAATCCATCTAAGGGACATTTTCTATTCAGTCTCATACAGCCACACCTGGGGTACTGTCTTAGTCCATTTGTGCTACTCTAACAAAATTCCCAAGATTGAGTAATTTGTGTAAAGAATAGACATTTCATTCTTACAGTTCTGGGAGCTTGGAAATTCAAAATCAAGGCACTGGTACTGGTGTTTGGTGAGGGCTGTCCTCTGCTGCCAAGATGGAGACTTGAAGCTGAGTCCCCATGTGGTAGAAAGCAAAAGGGCAAGATTGTGTTCCCTTCAACCTCAAGCTTTTATGGAGGTGTTAATATTCACCTCCCAAAGGCCACACCTCTTAATCCTGTCACTCTGGAGACTTAAATTTCAACATGAACTTTGGAGGAAGCACCAGCACAAACTGTAGCAGATAGGAACAGGCCATCCTACTGGCAGGAGACACAGGCCAAGATTTCCAGAGCACATCCGCAATACCTTCAAGAGCCCCTAAAGAAAGATTGTATTTTGTATTTTACTTGTTTATAAAAAGCACCAGATAGGCAGCACACAGTGTACTTGCCAAGTATTTGGTACCAGGTAATTTAGGAAAGTGGAGGAGACTAATCCACTCCACCTGTAAATTACTATTTGCCCTTAGTCAGAACTGCTAGCCATCTCATTTCCAGGCTCTCTCTTTGGCTGAGTGAGGCTAATGAATGCCCTCTCTCCTCACTGAATTTGTGTGAACAGTAAATAAGATGCCAGGTGTGAAAACCCTTTGAAAAGTATGAACTGCCTATCAAATGCAAGAACTTATTTACAATGAAGAGCCTGCAAAACTTTCCTTATAACTATTTGCTTTCCTTAACAGTAAGTAATATGCCTTACTGTTTTTCTTGGAAATTATTTTAAAGTCATTATCTAGCATTCACAATTTCTATAACAAGAATGCATTCGAAACAAAACAAATTGTAGCAAAGAAATTGTAACAAACTAAAGGTGACCATCCTTTAAAGTATACTTACGCAAAAAAGTTAATGTTAGTTTATCTTCCAATAGGATTCCCAACTTAGAAGCAAAAATTTTGCCCTGTGATCTTCTGGGTATATTATGTATTTAACAGTGAATTTAAAATGCTTAAATAATGAATTTGACATAAATCTAGGATTCCTGGCCTTGACTTGGTTTTCTAATTTACTTTACTGTATCAAGTTGCTCTGGTTCAATGAAAGATCAAAAACATTACATTTCTAAACCTCAATAGTTGAGATGACTTTTCGCACTGTGTTTTTTGAGTTTTTTAAAGAGCATAATAATAGCAACAAATTCCAGGGCTAAATTTTTTCAGATGTAAATTAGTCATAAGAAAGTCTGAATCAGAGTCAGACAGACCTAGATTTGAATTTAGATTTCTTGTGTTGACTAGCTGTTTGAACTTCAACTAATTACTGTCCTACTAACCTGTTTCCTCCTATTTAAAATAGGGGTAGAACAGCACTGATTCTCTTGTTGTGAAATATTAGTCATAGAAAGTGATCAATTCAATGGCTGGCATGTTATTCAGTTGTAATAAGTGGCATTTTATGCCACCATCATCATCATTATTTTTATTTCCATAGAATCAGGGATTGGGAGAGCCATTCTCCCATGGGAGAGATGTGCTCATCAGAGTAGAAGTGACTGCTCTTGGCAGAAAGGCTCACAAGCCCATGTGGTGTGCATTCAGTCTGAAAATAAACTGATGGCAGAATGACTTGTCTATTTAACAACCTTATTTCTCCTCCACAGCAAAAGTAGTTCCTTTGAATACTCCTTACTTTCTCACTAAGACATAGACCACTCCCTTTTATTCAAAGAAGGTATTTCCTGCAGATAACAAGCTATCAGGCCCTCCTACTCATACATTACTAAATATTTGGGTTTCAAGAGTTAGGATAGGACTGGGGGTGTGTATAGCTCAGCAGTAAGTGTGTGCTTAACATGCATAAGGCCTGGTTCAATCCACAGATCCTGCATGCCCTCCTGCAAAAAACAAAAGAAGTAAGGATAATTTCCATTCCTTTGCTAGTCAAATTACTTATAGACCAACAATTATTTTTTCCTTGAAGAATATGTACCTTTCTGTAAATAACCAGATGCTTTTGCCTTTATTCTATTAAATAGGTAGAAAAGAGTTTTAAAATCCTTCATTGTTGCAGCATACCCTGCTTGGTATGTAAGGGCACTAACCTTTTGCTGTGGACCTATGCCTTTTAGTTAATGACAACCTTAAAATAACAACAATAACAGAGAAATAGACATAGCTTATGACTTTGGCTTTTTTCTACATGTTGGGCACTGTTCTCAGAATATTTCATAGTTTGTCCTGTTAGTCCTCATATCAGCCCCATGAAGAAAATGATTGTCACCCATTTTACAAATGATGGAATGGGTAAGAGGAGGTTAAGTCTTCTTTACTGTGCCATATAGTGAGTGAGTCAGTCATGGAACCTGGACCTAGACAATGTGTACAAAGGATTTTTGTTTCATGATTAAAATAACTGCTTTCCTTTTAAAGGCCATTAGGTTTTAATGTGAATTTTTACATCATGAAATATGCATGCATTATTCATATTAAAATACCAACCTCTGGTTTGCCTATCATAAACACAAGTTTGCATATAGCCAAAAAATTGGACAATTTCTTTTGATTTATACTCTCTTCTTCTTTCTTATCATGTGAGTATTCAGTAGCTGAGCCTGATGCATCCCAAACACCTTGAATAGTTTGTAGACTACCTCTTCCTGCTTATAGGGAATGGTGGTCTGCAAAGCATACACAGTAACGTGACATATTTTATGAAAAGTTCACAGAAGTATGTGTAAGTATCTCTGGTTCAAGGGTTGCAGTTGTAGCTCAGCTCCTTAGTCAGTGAGATGAACAAGTTATTTCACCTTCCTGAGTCTCAGAATGCTTATAAATAAAACACATATCTCATGAATAACTTGTTATAATGAAATGATAATCTGTTTACAGCCTGTGACAAGTTAATTTCTAGCTAGCTATTTCCTGACAAAGGAAAGTACAGAATACTCCTAAGAGTCACTTCTCAAAGTCATAGCTGTTCCAAACAAGCCATGCTAAGAATGCATAAAAGGAAGAATTATGTCAGCAAAACATTTTTGAATCCTTATTTAATTAATGGTGATAAAAAAGAAAAAAGTAAGTGAATAGAATTTTCTTTTAAAACAACTAGCTGAGCCTAAGCTTCAGTTCCCCTAATAAGATTGTCTTCTTTTCTTTTTATAGACACATCCCACCCAAACTGCGTTCTTGTCCAGCGTTGACCTTCATACTCACTGTTCCTATCAGCTCATGTTACCAGAGGCTATCGCCATTGTTTGTTCCCCAAAGCATAAAGAGTAAGTGTGACTATGGAGGGGAGCCAAGGAAGGCATTTTCTGGGGCTGCTGAGGTCAAGTGTGTACACATATCAGGGTGTGGCGAAGGCACATGAATAGACAGGAACATGAGGCCCTTAGAAGAGAGAGGCAGCCAGCTCCCAGATACCTGTAGGTTTGCAGCCTTTTGTTTTTTAAGGTCCTATCAGTGGTAAAATTCCTAGTTTCTCCCTTTAGTTAGTATAATCCTAAAGTGGACAGAATTTAAGGGGGACACTACGTCAGTTTGATTTTTTAGATCTTATTCCTACTGGTCTGTGTCTTATCAAAAGAAATTTTTCAGTCTCAGCTTTATTACCTCCAAAACTTTCCTAGTTTGGTGAGATAAAGATTATTGTAGAGTAGTTATGATCACAGGAATCATACAAAATTGTTTTGGAGTCCTGCCTCCATCCACAAATCATAGGTTACTTGACCACCATGAGCCCCAGCTTCTTCATGCCTGCCTAGTTTGATGTGATGATGAAATTACATGGTAGCATATGTAAGGTGGTTAGCACAGCTTCTGGCACCACAGCAAGCACTTGATAAATATTTGCTGCTTCTATAAATAACACTATCATTATTAGAAAAATTGAATGTATCTGCCCCTTCTAGTTCCCTCAGGGTGAGGGGTAGGGGGGTTCAGGGTCTACCTCTCCTGTGATCTCATCCAACAACTTAGCTGCCTTAAGGTCCTGAAGGCACTTGGAGATCATTGCCTCCTCTGGGTTCTCCCTTCTAGGCCAAATATGGAGAGATTGGTTTAAAAGGTTACAGTGACCAGGTGCTGGTCGCTCAGGCCTGAAATCCTGGCTACTCAGGAGTCAGAGATCAAGAGGATAGCAGCTCAAAGTCAGCCTGAGCACATAGTTGTCAAGACCTTATCTCAGAAATATCAGACACAAAAGAAAACGGCTGATGGGGTGCCTCAAGTGATAGAACACTAAGCATGAGGCCCTGAGTTCAAACCCCTGTACCTAAAAAAAAAAAAAGTCACTATGGAATTCCCAGTTTGTGTTTTCTTCATCTGTCTTATTTGAGAAATATATGTGCTTGTGTCATTGAAATAAAACATCTGGAAATACCAATGTCCTTAATTTTATACCTTTTTCTCACCCTGAAATTTAGCACTGGAATCTTTAGGCTGACCAATGCTGGCATGCTTGAAGTTTCTGCTTGCAAAAAGAAGGGCTTTCATCCTCACACCAAGGATCCCAGGCTATTCAGTGTGAGTAGACAGTGCTGATTGTTTTTAAAGATGTTCATTTTCACTTCCCTGAAAAACTCAGCAATATTTTAAGAGCTCGGAAATATTTAAATTACAAAATTCATACTCCTTCCCTAAAGAGAATCATGTGTTAAACATTATGATGTAATACCAATTTTTTTCCTTCCTAGATATGCAAGCATGTGTTGGTAAAAGACATAAAAATAATTGTGTTGGATCTGAGGTGATTTGTACCAAATATAAGCACCGTCAACACCAGACCGTGGACATGTGATTGCTGGATTTTCTTAAGATATTTCCAGAAATGACTGATATTTTATATTTATAAATTTTAGATCAGAAAGTTTGATATTTATTGCTCTTGCATATTTTGAAGTTTTCCTTTTGGTTTGCTCTGTCTCAAGAGAAGTCTCTTGGTATTAAGTCATTATCTATGTACCGAAATGCTATCATCACCAGATAATAAATTGTGCTGCAAACAACAATATGCCTGTTATTTATGGAGGTCTCTGCATACATTTTCAGAGCTTGAGATACTTTGCTGATTTTTTTATTCATATTAAATATAATTCCAAATTAGAAATTCTGGGTGCAGGTTGTATCCTGGTCAAGTCATCTATTATTGTACTCTTTCCCTGTGGTAAAAAAAAAGGGGAGCAGTTTCTAAATGGAAGAAACATGGTTGCAAACAGAGCCCATCCTTTGTTTTCAGTTTCATTGAATCCAGGTTCAGAAAGTTGTGTCTGCTGTTAATCAGTGTAGGATACCTGAACAACAGGCTTCAACTCAGGGACCAGGTATCAGAGGCCATGGAATGGTTCGTTAACTTGATTTAGAAGACTGAAAGTAGAGAAGCTTGAAAGAGCAATTAAAAAGAAACCTAATATAATTATAGAGCCTGTTACTGTGAAGGCCCACAGGGATAATAGGAAAAAGAAATAAACCATAGGAAATAAATGATAATCCTTAACTGAAAAGAATAAATTAAAAAATTCAGGACCGGGGGTATAGCTCAGTGGTAAAGCACTTGCCTAGCATGTGCAAAGCCCTGGGATTGATCCCCAGCTCACAAAAAATATATAGAAAGAATACTTATAATTAAAATACTTATAATTAAAAGTGTACACACAGACACACACACATATATACATCCAGAGAATAGACAAAAGTACAATAGTACAATGTCATGGTATTACTTATGCTTGGAATAGCATTTGTGACTATTAACACTTACCTGGACCAAAAGGTACAGGTCAAATAGAAGGAATAGGAGACTTTTGTACTCTGTTAAAACATTAAATTGGTAGGAAAAGCTTAAGGATGGAAATATGGGGGGAAATTAGCTGCAAAAACAGGAAGGAAAGAATGAAAGTGACATTGGTTACTATTTGAGAGTAGGAAAATATTCCTAAGGACACTGAAGTCTTTTTCTCCATAAGCAACCTAAATCTTGTCAGACATTGCTTGACAGGCACCTTGGGAAATCCTGAGCTGGCTACCTTGTCTTTGGTCAACAGTCTTCTGACACCTCCACCTCTTAGGATGTCCTCTCATCTGTTCTTACTGGACTCTGCTCTAGCTTTCTGCTCTTTTCTTTCCAACTATTGTTTCCTTCTCTTCGATCTCTCCCTGAATCTCTATTTACCTTAACGACACAGTCAAACTAGTACTATCTAACTAACCACCTCTCTTCCCAATGTCTAGTAAGCCATCTACAGCTTTCCCAGTCTTTACTTTCTGGCATTATATTTGAGTTGTCTCAACAACTCATGTCTGCATGGACAATACTGGCATCTACTTTTAGTTCAATGATTTCTGTATTCCAAGGAGTGTTATTCCTTCTGCTCTGTCCTTGAATGAGTTAACCTTCCCTTACTTGTCTAGTGCTCAATGTGGCAGCATGCCACCAATGTTCTGCTTGTTTTCATTCATGAAGAACCTCCTGCAGGCAGATCAGTGACTTGTTCCTGTTTTATGCCATCTTGTAGCCTCAGAAAGTTCAGGTATATTTTTACTTTTTTGGTGGGGTGGTGGGGTGGGAGTTTGAGCTCAGGGCCTCATTACTTGCTAGGCAGGCACTCTACCACTTGAGTCACTCAACCAGTCCTTTTTTGTGTTGGGAATTTTTGAGATAAGGTCTCACTTTTTTTTTTTTTTTTGCCCAGGCTGACCTCAAACCATGATCTTCCTTATTTCTACCTTCCAAGTAGCTAGGATTATAGTCATAGCCATAAAACTTTAGAATAGAGTTTGGCTTGCCCAATGTATATGGATTTGGGGATGTGGCCACTAGCAACTAAGTCTCTCTAGCATCCTGCATGAGCTCATCCTAGAAACCTAACTGGGAGTGATGGGAATGCAGAAAGGACAAAAGACTGAAACAGAACATGCACAAAACTGAACACTTGGATGGAGACATACAACAGACCCTCCACCTCTGGCAAGTTTATTATATACAGTGAAAAAATGAGGTGGAGCAACAGTTCTCAGGAAAAGAGCATAACATTGTAATTCTCGGGAACAGGAGGAACCTGTGACCGCTTCTTTCTGAACATAAACATCCTAGGAAAAACAGGTGAGCTGCATCTTGCCCACTTCTCTGCCTGGGGCTGTGCCAAACTCAGCCAGCAGTTTATATGACAGAGCTGTGCTCATGTACTCCAATCTCCACAGCTAAGGGCAAATGAACTCTGCAAGACTGGCTCCACCATTTTGTCCTGAGTGTGCTGCTTTAATTTCTAAACCTTCAAGGACACTATAATATTCTTATATACTTAAGCAAAGAAAAAGATTATATAATTTATTCCAGGAAACAACTCTTAGGACAAGCAATAGTTGAGAACTGAATAATAGCCTCTGTGTAGAATTCAAAGATACAGTAATAGAAAAGAAGATACAAAATGATGTAAAAACTATGGCTATTGAGTGGTGCCTAAGGATAGAAAGGACTCATTGACAGCCAAGAACATTTGGCTTCTTAGATTTCCAGAGAGAATAGATAAAGAAACTATGAGTATGTTTGCACCTTTTGAATAGCAAATGAGACCCATTTTTGACTAAAAAGGTATGATATATCCTCTAAAAAAAGGGGAGGCATTCTTAGCACTTTCATTTCATTGCAGGGAGAGGGAAAACTTAAGGACCAAAGCAGTGTTTGAAAAACTGTTTTTAAAGGTGCTATGCTTTTCTTCTTACCAAGCACAAACCTAGTCTAGATTTCCCAAAAGATCTTGTCACAGAGCTGACCTCTTGGAGGTAGCAAATCATTGACTGGCCTTGAGTCCCTGAAGCTCTGTGTCTGATATCTGAAAGAAGAACCAGCAGAAATGTGAGCACACCATTAGGAATGCACTGGCCAGGAAGGAACACCCATGTCAGCCATCCTGGAGGGTCAAGGCAGTCATGTATATGGGCCATGTTGACCACCAAGTTCTGTGTAAGAGTCCTCCACAGCAGCAGTGTGGAGGCAAGGATAGTTCTTCATTTCTTTTCAGGTTTGTGCTTCTGTAGAAAACAAACAATTAGACCTGAATTTTAGGTCTAATTTTAATTAGAAATTACATGAATTTAATTGAGTTTTAATGCTAGTCTATTTATTTTACACATCACCTGGCACATAGAATGTAATGTTGAGATCCTTGACCCCTATAATTTAAAATATGGCTGTGTATAAAGACAGGGTCTTTAAAGAAGTAATTAATTAAAATGAGGCCACTAGTGGGCCCTTAATCCAATAGGACTGGTTGCTTTATAAGAGATTAGAATTGACATAAAGGAGGGAAGATAACCTGAAGACATGGGCTGAAGATATTCATCTGCAAACAGAGAGAGACCTCAGAAGAAACCAACCTGTCAAAAACTTGATCTTAGACATCTTGCTTTCAGAACTATGGAAAAATAAATTTTTGTCATTTAAACCAATCACTCTGCAGTATTTTGCTATGGCAGCCCTAGAAAACTAATATAGGACTTAATATTTATTGAAAGTAATTATTTTCTTTTTAGTCACAGACTGATCAAAAGTGACTTTCTTTTTTGTTATGCTGGGCAGAGATCATTCTCTTTTTGATAAGACTTTCTTGATCTTAGAAGAGCAAAGCAGAATGTGGAATATTCCCAACTCCTAAACTTATTCCTGGTTTCTTTTTGTAGAATTTTGCTTGTGGAAAATGGCATTGTACTTGAGACTACATCCTAGAACTTACTCATTTTTCCTCTCAGTTCTTTCCATGTTACATCTACATCAATGATGCTGGAGATTGTGTCATTGTAACTGTTTGAACTTAGTTGAGTTTTCTATTGTGAAACTATGAAGTGGTTCCAAATGTGGAAAGCAGATGTTTCTCTTGTGCCATGCGTTGCAGAATTATCTGGCAAGAGATTGTCTTCTCTGAAGTGGATGCTTGAGAAATGCCATGCATTTGGCAATGACTGAGGAAGAAAGAAAAACCTGCTTTGTTCTTCTTAGAACAATTTGGCTTCTTATTTCTTGTGAAGATAACTACAATGTAAAGAACTCTTTATTCCTTTAAGCAACTTTGGGCTTTTTCTAGTATCTTGCTTGACCCTTCGTGAGGAAAGTGTTTATTTTCTTTGGGAACAAGTGGAAAAAACATTATGTAGTGACTCTTAAAGAGTCGCGAACTGATGTCCAAAAAAAGGCATTTAAAAATTATCAAAAAGACATGGCTTAGATTGGGCTGCTGTAACAAAATACCATCCACTGAATGGCTTACAGACCAAAGCAGTTTTGGTGACAAAGTTCAAGAACAGCATGATGAAGCCTTGGTGAGGGTTCTTTTCCTAGTTTGCAGAAGTCACCTTCTTCCCTTATCCTCACATGGCAGAGAGAGAGCGAGCAAGAGAGAAAGAGAGAGAGAGAGAGATCATTTCTCTCATGTCCCTACTTATAAGGGCATAAATCCTGTATGAGGGCTCCATGCTCATGACCTAATCACCTCCAAATGCCATCATATTGGAGATTAGGATTTTATCATATGAATGGGGGGGGCATTTAGAGCATAATAAAAGCAAATGCTGAAAAGCTAGTATTTTCTCTGCTTGGTGTGCTGTATAGAGGTTCTGCTGTACATATCCTTAGGTTCCCCAATTATATTTGAAAGTATATTCAGATGAGAATGTGAACAGCTGTCATTATCACTGATCTGGTCTTCAAGTGTCCTTAACTCAATTTAAGGAACTACTCATTAAAAAGGTAGTTTTAAAAAAAGTATTGTTAATTGATTAAGTCACACTAGGTATGAAATTCCAACTTATAGAAAAATAAGCTTACTGTAAATAAGTTTTTTTAAACAATTAAAGCAATATAATATTATATAGTGTTTCATATTAGTGGTTTCAATTTTATAATTAAATAAATTTAATAAAAATTCATATGTTTGAGTAGCCAAAAAAGATTTGGACAAATTGCAAAGATGAAGAAAATCCAGGGGAGGGAAGATTATTTACAAAAGAAGCTTAT